TATTGACGATTCAGAGCAGCTTTTGACCATGTTTATACGTAATAAATCAGATTTTTTGCGTCGATATGTGACAATGGATGAAACATGTACTAACACTTCACTCCAGAATCAAAATGGTCATCATCTGAGTGCACAACAGTGAGCTGGAAAGGTTGTGGTTTCATAATTCTGGGATGCACATGGTATAATCTTCATTGACTATCTCGAAAATGAAAAAACCATCAATAGTAACTACTACATGGCATTACTGTATCGTTTGAAAGTAGAAATTATGAAAAAACGACCGCATATGGCGAAGAAAAAAATTTTGTTTCACCAAGACAATGCACCATGTCATAAGTCAATAAAAAGGCAATATTGCACGGATTGCTTCCTCATCCACCATATAGTTCAGATCTGGCCGATCTGTTGTTTTGCGTACATTTCGGCCAGTAACTTGCTGTTATTTGCCATACTTGCGAGTCACCGAAAAGGCCTTAAATTAACTTATATAGACCTGAAGAAGTTGGTCAACACAGCTGATTTAACATAAAGACTAGTACGTATTTAACCCTCCGAACTCACTAAGTAGTTAAAAATGGCACAGTAAAAATACTGTGCTTTAGTGTTCCATTTAATAAAATAAAAATGTTTCTTTTTATAAATTAATTAGATGTACCTCCAGCTCAAAAAGTACCCGGATTTTGTAAATAAAACACAAATTTAAACTTTTTTCCAAATTTATTTTATCTCCTTCAAAATATGCTCCTTATGAAGCGATACACATATGCCAACGCTTAACTCAATCTTCCATACACTTTTCGTAGGCCCGTGCAGGTATGGCTTTTAGTTCCTTCGCGAATTCCCTTTTACCGATTCAATCGACTCAAAACGTTTACCACGAAGGGGCAATTTGAGTTTCGGGAATAGGAAAAAGTCACACGGCGCCAAATCTGGCGAATATGGTGTCTGAGCGATGACAGTGGTGCCGTGTTTGGTCAAAAAATCGCGTACAACAAGAATATTCCATAGTAAAAGTCGCTAAATGCCCTTGAGGTAGCCTCACATTAACAGCTGCTGTAAACAAACTAATTCACAGATGGCGCTCAAATTTGTACCATATGTCAAGAAAGGGTGTACCAACATAACAAAAAAAAAATAGACATGAAAAATGTCTATTACTTAAGGAGTAGTTAACAAACAAAAAAATCCGAGTACTTTTTGAGCAGAAGGTATATTTTTATTTTATGATACCATGAGCACAGGTTCACGAATATGAGTACGCAAATCTTTTACAAAGCTTATAAGAAAGTTTCATGTTTTATTAATTTTTATATTTATTTATTTATTTTCAGGAAAGTGAAAATTTGCTTCCACAATATTTTGAATGGCTTCTTATATAGAGAAAGAAAGTATTTCCATCAATTTTTATACTTAAAAAATTACTATTGAAATGAACATTTTTTACTACATATTTTTAGGAAAGTCAAATTTTTCTAATTTAAATAGTTTTTAATTACTTTGATTGAAAAAGCTACACAATTTTACAAATCTATCGACACTAATATTGCCTTGATCAGTTTAAAATTTTCTAAGTATTTCCAAGCGTTGCCGTATATCAGAAATATCTAAACTATCGAGAAATATGGATATTCGCCAATAATGTGAAATCGAAATTTTTTGTTTAAAATATTTAAATATTAAAAAAATATTGTCATCAAAATGACCTTTAACCTTTTATACGAACACTCAAGGTGACAACATGTGCACCCATCTATCTATTATACTTGCAAGCCAACTTGCACAAAATGAGTTTCTGCTAAGCTGTATTATCGGCTAAAGTAGGAAAAAATTGATAAAATGCTTTGCATAAGTATAAAAAAATCAAGCAATATGAGGTCGGGTAAAAAAACAAAATAAAAAATTTTGTGTGCCAAACAATGTAGGTTTTTGTTTGCATTTTTTTCTGTTTAAACAAAAATAGACGTCATGCTCTTATGATTAGTAAGAAAGTACTAACAACCAATTTTTTTCGACTTAATAAAATTTCAATATCTCGAATTATTCGCATGTGTAGCAAATTATGATAAGATGCATCTGCGATTATTCTTGCTACTGTAACGACCCACTTTTCCAGTCGTTTTGTTTGCTGGGATAGTAAAGCGGCCGTCAAGGTTCGTTGCAATAATATTTTTGCAATATTTATTTACTTAAAGTTTGATTATTCCTTCTTTTTATTCCTTCTTTTAAAATTTCACAGATTAATATTATTAAATTGTAATTCTTCATAAGGCGGTGATTACTACTGGGTAGTCCCGTACATGCCTATCATATATTGTTATTGCCATAAGTAGTACTTATTATTCATGCGTAGAATAGATTGTATATAATAAAATGAAGTTTAAAAAAAACAAAAAAAAAAATTAATATTAAAATTCAAAGTTATTTGTTTTTGATTATTAAACTGAGATAAATAGATTTAATTAATTCTAAAGCTAATTCATAAATTCGAAGTTAATTCCTATAACACAACCTTGGTACACCGGAAATAGATAAAAGAAAAACACACACCGCTTTGTCTTCTAGGATGAAATCGACCTATGGAAGTCTTGGAAGCTACGTATTTATACTTTGCGGTAATCTGGATCTCAACCCCTAGTAGTGCTGGAAGAACGTGATGTTGACTGAATGAGTCAGGTTAGTTAGGAACAATTTAATAACAAATGATCCAGTTAGGCTCAATGAGCCGGTAAGCTAAACCCACCAGAGTGATATTTTACGCCTGGATTTCTACATAGGTCTCCTGTTCTTACATAACATGCGTACTTACTTCACACATCATATTTTGGTACCACATTACTACATTTTGATAGAATTAAATGAATTCAAGATTATTTGCGCGAACATATCCTTAAAGTTGGAAACGATATTAACAAAAGTCATCTTGTTAATAGAATTTTATATTGTTTTACGTTGACCAGAGTTTGTCAGGTAAACAATAATGGTAGAAATATAATGTCAAGCTCGTTCATATGCTCATTTTTTGCTATTTGTTCAGATATAGAGATTGAAATGATGATACCAGTAATGATTTTTATGAAATCCCAAAATCAACTACCTTGTATGAAACTATCTTGTTAAAATTCTTTTTAAATTATTTGAAGTAATTTTTTAATTAGTTTTCATTTTGTTTTTGTAGTAGGTGGAGACCATCAACAGCCACAGTGTGAGATTTTAACGCACTAAAAATGCCTCTTAGGAATGAATGGACAAGATAGTCGCTACAGCGTGAAAGCTTCATTCCAGTGATAAAGGCAAAAAGATGAAATCAGAAAAAATTCGTCATTACGCGTTAGTTGAGCATTCTTGCAAAGTATGGGATCGGAAACATGCCTGCCGTCAGGCTAGTGCTTGCAGTTGGTACAATCATGTAGGACTAGAAAGAAACCATCTCTTGGTTTCTTTCTATCTGAGCAGAGTTGTTGCAGACAAAATGGAGAAGGCGTACGATGGTATGGGCCGAACGAACTTTTCATAGGAGCTTACCTCAAAATTAATCTGGTTGGGTCTTTGTAGAACATTTTTTTAGTTGCATATGACTAAAAGGGATGTTTTGGGTGGCATCGTGAAATCGTGCGAACGGGAGAGAAAAACACTGAGATTCTTAAGCTTATCAAAAAGCTCAACAACATCAAGTAGTAGCGGTATTGTCAAACTTTAGCTTGATGAATGTGCCATCATAACCATAGATTCGATCGGGCCATTGACCTAGGAGACTTACGGCACTGCCCTCGGTGGTATATCGCTTAATCTTCTAACTGGTGTTATAATTGAAAAGGGTCGTAAGGTGCTCATTAAGATCATTGGAGATACGGCACGAATTTGGCAACCGCATGAAGATGAGTCAACTGTCAACGAAGCAAATTTGCTTGGCGTGGACCTGTGAGGAAGGAATATTTGACGTAAAGAGGTTGAAAAGGAGTGGGCCGAAGATAGAACTCCGGAAAACTCCGTTCATGGGTAAGTTAAAAAGAAACTTATGGACAACAGTACAAATTGTTGGGGAAACACCAAACTGGAGTTTAAGGACTAAACCCTCAACCCAGGTAATGTTAAAGTTTTTTTTAATATCGAGACTTACTGCCACGGTGGGACGCTTATTGCAGAAGCCAACGTATATTTCGTTTTGGAGTACTCGCACTTCATCAGTACGTGTACATTATATTATATTCGTGCGTATTATAAAATAAGACTGCAAAACGAAAAAAAATCAAAGTATTTCAATACAATTTTTAGATAGAAGACATTTAGAAGACTTGAGAGGATTTTTGTTTTAAGAGAATGGAGTTGAGAGGATACTTAAATGACCTTAACCTTTACTTAAAAACACATCCTTGTTTACAATTGACACGTACTAGGTTCTCACTTCTATCTTAAATAAATTTAGAAATTCAAATATTAATCATCATATGCTTCACCCCCTTATTACTGGAATGCAATTTCAGCCAGTATTTTTTTATAGTCTGAGGGTTGAAATTTCCCAACTTGTTATTTAGTGGGTTCAAGTCTTACACTCTGGATATCGATACTTTTCCTCTACAGTGATAGAAACTTTGAAATTTCCCAACTTGTTATTTAGTGGGTTCAAGTCTCATACTCTGGATGTCGATAATTTCCCTCTACAGCGATAGAAACTTTTTATAATTACCAATGTAAAGACCCATGAAGGGGTGCCAATCAAAATTTAGAATAATTACTTCAGGCTAAAAACAGGCAGATTGCAATATAGTAGCAGATACGAGTGCATTCAACGAAAATAATTTGTCAGACAGGCTTAGATGGTTCACGGATTGTTGACGTCAAAAATGATAATGATGATGTTGAAAAATATTTTCCGATTTTTCCACATTTATCTACAAATTTCCATATTCCTGCGAGGTTTTTTACTTAAAAAATTGCAAATCAATTTTTAACTTCGTATAATTTAAATACATGTAAAAAAATGTCCACTGGACGAATGTTCACAGTATTTCACATATTTCACATTTCAGGTAGAGTATATTTCTTGTTATTCATTTTTGAATTTATTGAATTTAAAGTGTTAGTATTTTATTTACTTATGTATGAATATTATATAGAATTGTCTTCGTCAAGGTATTGATAACTTGCAGATCTTTAATCTTCATCACTTTCGCTGGAATGATTATTCGTTACTCTGGATGCGGTTTTGTAAGAAGAAGCTTTTTGAGTGGATGGTTCAGTAGAAACTATAGCTGCTTCCGTTGGTTTTGCTTCGCCTGAATTTGATGTCGCTGTCGTAGTGTCTATAGTTGCAATGCTGGGTTCAACTTTACCAACAGTTTGTGTCTCTCCTGAGTTCGACTTTTCTGACACATTGGAACCAGTTGATTGTGTTGTTACCTCGCCTGAGTTAGATGACGATGTGGTTGAGTCTATTGAGCTTGATGTTTGAGTCTCTCCTGAATTAGATGACACCGAAACAGAGCTTGAAGCTGAAGCTTGTGTTGTGACCTCTCCTGAATTTGATGATACAGAATTTGTTTCTACATTTTTCAGAAGAGAGACAGGGGTGCTTTCACCGGAATTATTTCCGTCTGTTGTTTGAGCGATAATGTTTGAACTTAAAACACACTAGAAATCAATTATAAATTTTTTAGTCAAATGTAATTTAGATGAAAATTTGAATTTTTATTTTTCTTACCAAAAACAGAGAGATAATTGCGGTTGCTTTAACTACAGCCATTCTAATTCAGAAATCGTCGTACTTTACTACTGAATTCAAATCATTGACAACAGTGCTTTTATGTAAAATGTCGTCCGTTATACTGCGAAAAATACTGCAATTTTATCATTCAAAGTCAATAGCATCTATTTAACTGTTAAATCAAATTTGAGTTTTTTGAAAACTTCAACATTAAATACATAAACTCAAAGTCGTTGAATTCAAAAATATTTATAAAAGGTATCATGTACTCGCCAAATGAATTCAGAAGTTAAATTAAAAATATAACACACTTCTGTGATTTAATGCAAACACCCCGGAATGCAGAAGAGTTTATGAAATTTGCTGATCTGTTTGTGAAAAACGATTAAACATTATAAAATATACTTCACATATGATATTAATTCTTTATTATTAACTTATTAGATTTTGTTAATTTTATTTTATCAATTAATATAGAATTTTTTTATCTATCTATCTATTATTTATCTATTTTTTTATCTAGCTCTATCAATTTCATCTATATTTAAATAGTATTTGTTCAGATCCACAAGAAATCTCCGATGTATCTTTTGTCAATATTAATCAATCTATTGTCGACATTAGTTAACGAGGAAATTGTTAGCAGGAACATTGCAATATCATAGAATAGAATAGAAATAAACAGGGTACTAGCTCCCACTGGAGCAGAGCACTGCGACCAGATTGATCTTTTGTGCCGTAACTGACCCTAATTGAACAGAAGACATTCCGCCTTCCGAATGAAGGCCAGAATGTCGTCCGTTGAGGACCTCCTAATGTCAGAAGGAGAGAGCAGCTCTCCTCCCAATGATTTCCTCCTTGCCCAGATCAAGGCTGGGCAGTCACAGAGAATGTGGCTCGTAGTCTCGTCTGCTTCTAAGCAGAGTCGACACTCTATCTCTTCGGACAGACCTATTTTGTTAAGGTGATAACGCAGTCCATGGTGACCCGTTAAATATCCCACCAGCAACCTTAAATCTGATCTACAATATCATGATATCTGCAATATCATAAAGTCGTTTTTATTTTTTATGATTTTAACTTATATTTTGGACGTTTGTTTTAATATTTCTATACGTATTTCGGCAAATTCGCTTTTGCTTTCATCAGGACGATTCTTGATATTAAAAATATCTATATCTACTAAGTAACAATACTGGATATATAAATGTGTACTAGTATACTGTTTAACTATAAATGTATTAGTCCCTTTCAAATTTAGTTTTTCATTTTTTTTCCTTCGAATCCAAACATATTAAAAGGACTTTTTGAATGTTTTTATATACAGAAACTGAGCTTATTATAATAATGATGTTATATTACGTTGTTAGTTGTCCAACTTATCAGTACTAATAAAAGAAAAAGAAGGTAAAATATTAACATTGAAATTCAGTTCTAATTTGCAAACAAATTATAAAAGAATATTCCTTAAAATGTAATTAAGAGTTAAAACATTAAGATAATAACCTATGTGTAAATAATGGGATTGCGTGGTATCAAAACGTCACTTTCTGACGGCTCTCGTTTCAGAACTGCTGCATTAATAACATTAAGTATTAGTCTTCTGACAATTAATCTAGTTTCATTTCATAGTTTGTGCGGTAGAAATCAAATATATTAAACCAATTTACAAATTCATTTCAATAGTTTACAACTGCGCCTACATTGATACAATTGTAATTTGGTTTGTAATTAACAGACCCACCCCCGAGTTGATATCATATAAGACATATGGGAGCTCACAAAGTAAGAAATATATTACTTCTAGAGGAAATCATTATCTTAACACTATTTATAGTGTACAGAATGTATCAACTTGAAAACAAACTCCATTAAAAAACTCTTTTTGGTATGGTGTGAGCCCAAAGTTTTGACCAAAAACAAAAATTTTATAGGTTCGTTCCGCTCCTTTATAATATGATTATGTTTATAAATATCACACAGTTCAATTTGGTTTTAATTTTTTTTTATATTGTGGCAATCCTAAATATTGACTCTCTAGAGTGTTATACCCTACATTGGGTCTCAATATATGCGGATCGATTCAGCGGTCAAAATATTCATTGGGTGAGAACAAAAAATAACTAAACAAATATATAAAAACTTAAAATAAATAAATATATATATATATATGTATGCATATTGATTGAACCATAATAGAAATGCTTTCATTTGGAATAGATGTTGCTCCAAATATGTGTCTGAATACATCATATCTAAATGATTAATTAAAATATTTATTTAAATGCATTACGAAGTACTCATTTAGTCGACAGTGGGTTATGGCTGTAATACGAGGCAGGCCAAAATCATAAAATAATTTTTGATAGCAAAACTAATGATAATTTTGTGCCCTGTAGTGTGTGCATATTTTGTTGACTTCCCTAAAAATTTTGGGTTGGCGGACACTGAATAATCTCGCAAAGTGAATTTTTATAAGCAATTTTTTTAATATTTACATTTTATATGCTATCCAGTATTGTACTACCCTTTATTAATATGCAATAAATATTTGACTATTCGTCTAATATTTTTGATTTATTAATGTGAGTAAATAATATGGCGGTTGCAAAATCGACCAGTTTTTTGAAATTTGAATTTTATAATTTAAAAACTACAATTATTTAAAACTGTTTACATCTGCCAAAAACTGACCATTGAGCACACAAGCACTATAATATAATATATATTATATATAATATATATTATAGTATATAATATATATTATAGTGCTTGTGTACGCGTAGATGTTTACTATATATAAGAACAAGCACTATAATATAATATATATTATATATAATATATATTATAGTATATAATATATATTATAGTGCTTGTGTACGCGTAGATGTTTACTATATATAAGAACCTGTAGGCTTGCGTAGATGTTTACTATATATAAGAACGATAATTGTGTTACGTATACTAATTAATCATAAATATGTGATATACTAATTAATCATAAATATCGCAAGTATAAGTGATATATAAAAATTAATACACTGTATGATTAGTTTTTTTTTGCCACTGATAATAATATGCAGTTCACTTGAAACAGTTGAATCAAGTAACAAAATCAAAAGTTTTAAATGTTAAAAAAAAGTGAAATCAATATATTATATTGTATTACTAATATTTCTCATATATATTGCTTTCAAAATTTTTATTTAGTATGATATAATATGAAAACAAAATCATGCTATGAATATGTCTGACAAGTCTATGAATTTGTTTTATTGCGCTATACATTTGAGGAAAACCGAATTGATGGCGCTTTAAGAACAAGATAACTGGCTTGGGTATCATGGCGATATGCGCTATCTTTAACTGTGGTGAAATAAATTCCAATTTTTACACTATGTTAAGTAAATGAGTGAGAAATACAAACCCTCTGCTGCAGGGCCATGCCTGTGATCAAATGGTATCCTTCGCTATTACGACCATAATTCCCATAATATAATATTTATTTAACTGGAAGTTCTAATTGCTAACTCTATTATAGAAAATTTACACATTGTTTCATGATATCTGGCACATTTTGATTATCGTTAGATTAAAGATCTGGTTCAGATGTAATGGGAATGTTTCTGGTTTTTCGATGTGGCTTCTGGTCATATTTGTGTATAGGTAGTTGATATGCGATCGGTCTGTGTTTCTTTTTTGTGGCTTTCCAGAGGGAGGAGTTTATATCTCTTGAAGCACTTAAGCTTTGGGGAGGTATAGGGATGTGCGACTACTGTTGTACTTTATAAGAAGGAATTTAACGAGTTCGTTTGTTTAAGCGAGTATTATCCGCTAATGTTTTCTTATCATACGCTTTTCTTTAATTAGTTATTTGATGTTAAAAGTCGTAAGCAAGAATGACTTTTAGAAAACGATGGAGTTCATTCCAAGGCTGATTTTTGGACACATGAGTTGCAATGACTTCGGTACTTAGACCAAATGTAATTAGTTGACAATAATTGTTTCAGTCAGTATTTTTGTTATAAAGAACATATTTTTCCATAAATACACAGGAGTCGTTGAAGGTAAAGATTATTGGTGAATGGTCTGATGACAAGTTGTAATTGGACTTGCAGGTAGTTGTTGTTTGAATATCCGCAGGGAAAAACACACGTCTGTTCAGTTTGGTGTACTTTATTAGAGAGAGATATGAAAAGGAAACAAAATAACATAATAATTTATATATGTATAGAGTTGCATAGAGTTCTTTACTATTTTATCTGATATGTGCGAATTGTACTTTTGGTATGTTTCATACCGTACATACTCCCCTCAATACTGCAAAATCAACTCAGTCAGATATTGTTGCTTTGTCTGCTTTAGTTTGCACTACAATGTTGAGCCACCATTCGTTTAATCATTGGAATACATTGAGTGATAAAGTTCGTAGTTCGGAATTGTAAAGGAACTTCGCCTCACGAAATGGGTTTCTGATACCAGCATTATAGTATGTCGCATTATAGTTTATATTTAAGAATGCTTTTATTTGAACAACATGTTTTGATAGACCGTTTGTGTTCCATATGACTACGACTAAATTAAGATTTTTTTTTGTTACGTGAACTTTAGTCTAAGCTTTTCATTAGTATTTTAGATAAAAAATATAATTAATATAAATATAATTAATTATTATGGGAGCAAATATCAAAGCCAATACATTATTATTATAATTATGCCAATACAATTATTTACGATATTGACAGAAATTTAAAGTAATCTCAAGTGACGGAAGATTTTTGATATTCTTAAATTCCTCTTCTTGTCGTTAGCTTGAATATTCTAATTAAATTAGAAAATATTACACCTGCTTTGCTGTTACAATTTCAACTGAATGGACTGCATTTTTCTCGGCACTAAGTCTTTTCCATTGTGTGTCTTATCCACAGACCTATTGGCTTGACATAATGACATAATTTATCTTATATATAGAGGTGTCTAAAATAAGATCAATTTGATTTCTACTTAGTAGTTGTATTATAATACTAGTGACCCCAACAATTTTTAATAGTAAATGAAAATTTTGGACTTTTATATTAGACTCAGCCGGTTTTAAAATTTGC